ACCCAACCCATTGCCATTCCCTCTCCAGATGAGAAAGTTTAGGGCCCTCCCCATCCCCTGACAGCTCCAGGCCAGTCCAGCCTCCCAAATGCCCATGTGCCTGAGTCATCAAGCCAGTGCCTGCCTGGTGGACTCAGTGGGAACACACAAGTGCAACACACTTTTCCTTCAGGGGGAATCATTGGGGGACATGAAGCCAAGCCCCACTCCCGCCCCTACATGGCCTTCCTTCACATTCGAGATGAGGAGGAGTTCAGATGTGGCGGTGTCCTTGTGCGAAAGAACTATATTCTGACAGCTGCTCACTGCAAAGGAAGGTAAGGGGCCACAGCCAGGCTACACCTCCTGAGACCCCTACAGGGACCCTGTCCTCCATCCCAGGAGCTACAGCCCAGGGCAGCTCCCCAGGCTCCTGGTAACTCAAGCCCATGAGACCTCATCAGAGGAGCCATCAGAGATCATGATGGAGCAATGGGAGGCTGGGAAATAGGACAGGTAATCTCTGGGCTCAGAGGGTCAGAGGTGACAGCAAGTAACACAGGAAGAGGCGGACCACACACTCGGCAAATAAAGCAGCGGTGGCCCATGAACACATGCATTGGGGTCAAAATGAAAATGCAAGCAATTCATGGCATTTCCTGAGGGCCAGAAAGCTCCCAGCTCCCTAACCTCAGTGTCATTGAGAAGTAGAGTCACTCAGCCCCTTTCCCCTGTTGCCTTGATTTCCCCAGTCTGCAGCCCTGCCCTGCCCCAGCTGTCACTTGCCCTTCATAGGTCCTGGGCTTATCTCTTTCGACTCTACCTGCCCCCCAAACTCACACACTCTGCTCTCTGTGCAGGTCAATCAGTGTCACCCTGGGGGCCCACAACATTAAAAAGAAGGAGAAGACCCAGCAGGTCATTCCGGTAAAAAGAGCCATCCCACACCCAGACTATAATTCACAGAAGTATTCCAACGACATCATGTTACTACAGGTAAGGAAACATCCTGCTGCTCTTGCTCTCATGAGTCCACATTGTTTCCCCTCCAACCGAATGAAGCACTTCCCTTCCTTCCTTCCCATCCTGGCCACCTGACCAGTCCCTGAGACTGAGGTGTCCCTCAATGCCCTGGCTCAGAGACCACTCGCTGACCTGGGCTCCCTTGCCTCTTCCCTTCAGCTGGAGAGAAACATCAAGCAAACTGATGCTGTGAAACCCCTCCAATTGCCCAGGCGCCAAAACAGGTTGAAACCTGGACAGAAGTGCACTGTGGCTGGCTGGGGGAAGGTCACCCGATGGGGCAAATACTCAGACACTCTGCAGGAGGTACAGCTGACCTTGCAGAACGATGAGCAGTGTGAAAGCCATTATAACTTACGCCATTATTACAACAGGACCATTCAACTGTGTGTGGGAGACCCATCAGAAGATAAGGCTTCCTTCAAGGTGATACTGAGCATCTGACTACTTTGGCTCTGGGAGAGGGTTATTTGGGTAGGAACTGGGAGCTGGGGTCCCAGGCAGCAGGAGACTACTTCACC